CTTTTCTAATTAAAATATTAGAAAAGCCGTAATCATCTAATAACAAAAAATCAATCAATATCCCTCCAAATAAAAATCCATGCTCCAACCACGAACAAATTATTTGTATTATTACTTCAAATTACGACCTTTTAAAATCCGACAAAAAAAACAATTAGAAATAATATCTTACTTTAAAAAAAACTATATCTCTTCTAACAAAACCAAACCCAATCAGAAAATTTCAATAATATCCATGAGAAGTAAAGTATTTCAAATATCGCTTCATCATAGTCAATACCTCGATAACACATAATAAAAAACTAATAATATAAAATTAAGAAATACAAATATAATAACAAAAGAAAATAATCGAGAAATATTAATTTTACAAATATAATTCTAGAAAATTTATAATTACGAGCATCTCGCTATAAAGCTACCGCAATTTGGAAACTTCTATTACCGCGAGATTTCCTAGAGCCAGCAAAATCTCTAGGGATTTTACGGGATTTTACTACTGGGAGCTAAGGTATCACAGTACTAAAATTTCGATTATTATCTTCAATTTTGAGGAATCATATAAATTAACCTCTAAATCGTTATCCAATTCAAACGAAATCTCTTTTAAGATGTTCTAGCCATGTCAATAATATGAAACTTCGAGACCTGGATCTCCGTTCAGCTTTTTGTGGCTCTCGCAGCTCAAAAGCGAGACGTCGATTAGGAGCAGACGGCAGAACGATTGCGGAAGCTCAGGGGAGAGCTTTTTCGANNNNAGATCTAGGAAGCAGGCGATGTCAGAAGTGTTTACCTGTTCACCGTGCTCAAGTGCTTCTCACAACATTCGATCTTGGGACCGAATTCCTTGGCTGCAGCTGTAACAGTCTTTGAACACTCGGATGGGATCTGCTCGGCGTGAGGAATGTAGCACTGCATCCTAGACTAGACCCTCTGCACCCTTAAACCAATACATCCTAGAGCCGCATTCCCTAAACCCTACACAGATTTTAAGATACGGAGACTGAAGCAGATCCCATCCTTGCAGCCCTGGTGAAGAACAAAATGTTCTTGACATGGAGCTTTCTGCCATAGGTTCAAGCCTTGCCAGGTCCTCCTCTCTGTCCGAGCAGTTCTGTTCATGAGCATTCGCAAAACGATGGCAGAAGGCGATGCAGGATTTGTACAAAGCGCGAGGGTAGCAAGTCGCATGGGGGAGTCCGTCCTAGTCATGAGATGCGGCATTGGATTCTGCGGGCTCTATACAAGGACACGCATTGGCATCGCAACTCTTTTGGCCATGTGATGCCCAACGAGTCAGAGACGTTGATAAAGCGTAACCCTTTGGCTCTGGTCCAACCCTACTCCACGAACACCCGGGCTTACTCGCGCAGCGGCCTCTGGGTGGAAATCGCGTTAGGATATAGAGGCTAGAATGACTTAAACTGTGGAGCTGCAAGGGCTGTCAAAGAACGCACAGCCCCAACACGGTGTGGAGGTGCTGGGCAGCGACAAAGTGCCAGTCATTCGCATGTCCAAGCTTGTCAAAACTACCGTTAAATGCCGATACCCGGCTCTTTCAAACCTGTAGACCCCCAAGCATTGAAGTGTCGGGCATAGCTGGAGCTTTTTCGACTAAGCCTTTGCATACAGAACTCAACCAAAGTCGACCTCTACATCTTTATCCCTAAGCTAAGCCAAGCTAAACCTTTATCTCAAGTGCTAAGCCATAAGCCTACCTTCAACGTCTCATCCTGTACCACGCTCAACGAGCGGCTCATGTTCGTGCCTTGCCACAGGAAGGGAGGATGGAAGCCCCGGCCCTTGCTCGTTTCGCCTCCTTGCAGTTGACACTAGAGCCTGCTCCACTAGAACACGCCTGAAACGTCATGTAACCAATAAACGCTATAGACCCTGCATCCCCGAGGCGTCGTCGCCTCGAAGCTCGATCTTTCAACCCTGAAGCCCATGGCCCATGAAGCCCCAACTCTCAGTCCCAGGCAAAATTGAGCTTGAGTGCAATTGGGGTTATTGGGTCATTTTGGCTTGCTCCCTGTGGGTCGCAGATGCTCCTCCATCCCCTCTCGGCCCGCCTTGGGATGCGTGACGCCAGGGGGCAAGATCAGCCGATCAGCCCCCAGCAAGAATTTGCCGACCTGGCCGCGAATTTCGAAAGCATCGGCACTGTCGCTGTGTGGGTTTGTTCTGAACCAAGGCCCCGGTTCACGCACGTAGCTCTGGGTGCTTGTTGCTACAGCTAGACTCTTGCCTGCCTTCGTCTTGCTTTCGGGTTAGCAGTGCCGAAGCTGACCCTGCAACTGGGAGTCTGGACTCCACCTTTCTTCAGCATCAACAACGATTCCAGTCCTGAGTTTGGGCTTGAATTTAAACCCAGCTTATCTCCTGTGCCTCACAAGCCGTACAGCCTAAACTCTGGAGCCTACAAACTGGGCCTGGTAATTCTTCAAAACCGTGGTGTGTCAAGAAAGCCACGAACAGTCCCCATGCTTGATCTAAAACCCTGAACCCCCTGGGCTTTACGGCTTAGTTTAGGGTGTTTAGGAAGTTACAGCTCAAGACTGTGATGCAACTCCAGCACGGCCGCCTTGTACTGATTTCGGGCGTCAGGGGCCACGACATATGTAACACCAAGCTTGTTCTCGCAGAACTCGCAGGAAACCTCAGAACCCATGGTCGGACCCAGATCCCGGGGGCTGGCTCGAGTTGTAGCTGATCGGTTGCGGGCTTGACATGACTCTGCTCAAGACCTCGGATGCCCGAAGCTGCCCAAGCTCCAAGGCAAAGAAACCCTGTGCATAGCTTCGAGGTTTGGGACGGTGCGCTGGCAGCCCTGCCTGTTTGGAAAACCTCTCAGGCATAGTATCTGCGGCACGGCGTCCTTCGAGGATCACCCGAGTACCCTACAACACTAACCCTGCCCCACAACTAGGCCGAACGGTCTGAAACTACGAAACAGATCACTTGTTGGAACTTGGCTTTTCTTCAAGCACCTCGCAAGATCAGCTTCACAGGATTCAGAGCTCAAATCCGGTGAAGCATTTGCAGACCAAGGCTTCTCACCGGCGTGCTTTGGGAATCGGGTTTAAGGCCAAGTTTAGGGTTTAGGGTTCAGGGCTTCGGGTGAGGGTAGGGGTGTGCGAGAATCCGGCGCAGGACTTTGGGAACCATCGAAGGAAGGGAAGGTTCAGGCCACTGATGGTCAGCTACAGTGCTTACTGCTGCTGTTCGCATGGAGCACAGACAATAGCAGCCATAATCAGAAGACCCTCGGGACTCTAACCGCCGAATCTTGAGGTTCTGCGTTCCAAGGGGCTTCGCAGATGACGTACGAGCCCGTGGTGTACATCACCGTCTGCCTCTCCTCCGACGCTGTCGTGTTCTGGGTCGCGTCGACGAGGTAGCCTGGGCCAGTCCTCAGCACATGATGACAACGGCGACATAAGCATAGTAATCTTAATAATTAATAACAGTCAGATAGTCGGAATATCTCGCCGCAATAGGAGTAGAAGAAGCAGCAGCGGCAAGCAGCAGTAGCAGGAGCAGTCGCAGGATGATGGTCCAGCAGGGTAGTAAGAGCAGAAAAAACACAAAGTACAGGCACAGGATTCTGATCTCTCAGATTGGTTGCTATCACCAAACTTATCGTCACTCCATGGCCACTTCTTTGCTAATTACTCATATTGATCATGGGATTCTGGCCGTACTGACGAAATTGACGGCTTTGGTGGCTCCATTTTATTCAATTCTTCGCTACGACTTCTCCTATCACTACCACCAGCACAACCACGGCCTACGAATACAATTACGAAGGGGACTGAAGCGCCACTGTTATGTTTGAAGGCAATCTTGTACTTTGACTGCGAAACTTCCACCACGGTTATGTCTATTGTTGACGGCGACAACGCACTTTATAGTTTATGTTTTATGTACAATTGGCATTCTCTCTGGAGTACCCCCTTTCTCGATTGTTCGTATGTAGTACTGGCTGCAAGCCGCCCGAATCCTGACGACGTCATCGATGGTGCTAGCCGTCGCTCTCTTGTTAATACTATCCTTTTTTTCCTTCTTTTGCAGCTATATGCTGTTCTCAGCTGTTGCTTGTCATCATAGGTGTCACCTGATTCGCTTGAATCATAGATGTGTCTATGATTTGTACATACTACTTGTCACGTCTTCTTGGGCTTTCTTCGGCTTGGGTTGCGCGACTCGGGCACGGCGGGCCTCAATATCCTGTGCATTCCGTACTTGGGCCTTCCTCCTCTCTGTGGCAACTTAAGGTTCTAGGTTCGAGCTCCGCCTCACGCGAATCTTGCATGAACCGCAACAGCTGGGTGCGCTGCATGGCTTGGTAGTTGGATGACAGGATGTCCGTTCCGCAGAAGATCCGTGCGTTGCAGCCTGGCAAGTGCGTAGTAGGACAAGAGACCAGAAAAAGGACGATCAGTCACAGCGACGATAGTGGGGACAAGGACGAAACGATTCGGATGAGAAGGCCAGGAAGAGTTAGTCATGCTTGTGATGATACGCTAGTCATCATCACCACCGTCGGTGCCACCATCACCGTCAGTCTTACTTTGGCTTCTCTGACGACGGGCCTTCGGACTGCAATGAACCTGAAGGTTTCTTGTGCCCAGGTTTCGGGCTTTGAAAGCTGACAGCACCTTGGCACTGAAGCCGAAGCCACGCAGCATCGGCTGCTTGTCTCTGTCGCCACCAGTACAACGATCACTTCCCTAGGCCCTAGTCATGCTGTGTCTGCCAGACGTACCACAATGGCTCCCAATGTGAGCGTCAAGGCTACAACACCAAACCCTAAACTCTAGATCACCTGCCCGTCAGAACCCACAAGACTGGAAGCAGCCGGGAGGCCACGGCAGCGGAATCCATGCTCCTTCGATCTCCGGCGTCTCTCTCTGCTAGCTCAGAAGGTCATTTTCATTATTGACATATATGTATGTATATGTATATATACATGTATATATATATATGTATATATTACACACTATATATATACACATATATATATATAACTAACGATATGCTTTGTAGGACTTCTGGGCTTGACTTTGGGCTTAAAGACTTCTCATGTTGCCTTCGTAAGGAAAGAATTGCCTAGTTCAAGCGGCTCTCTTTCAGCACCGTAAATTTAAAAGTGTGAGGAAACCCAAGCAAGATCCCGAAGACTAACAGCTAAGACCCTAGAGTCCTAGACTTCTCGACATCCGAAAACCCAAGGGCCAAGGGTCACTGTCTGTTGCGGAGCTTTCGTTTTTGCTGGCTGTGTTCGTTCTGGCTTTCGGGGTGCTTCACTTCCACTTAGGCCATGCAGACTTGCGACGTTTCGGGCCGTTTTGACTTGGGGCCTAAGGCCTTGGCACATCTTGCGCCGAGGATGCAGAAAGCAGCCCCAATGGAGCTCAAGATGTCCCGAAGTCTCAATGCTAAGGCCGGCAAGCTTTCAATGTAGCGGCCTTCATAATTAGAATAGGGTTTTGGGCAGAAAGATGCTGTAAGTATCATAAGGGGCCCCAAAATAATCAACATAGTATAGGCAATTTCTAAGGCCCCTACATTATTGGGCACTTACTTGGGGAACAAACCTTGAACCCTCATCCCGGAGCTTGGCATTGCGGGTGTCCTCCTCACACTGCTCCTTCGCCGGTGGGGTCTCCACCTGCCACGGCACCGGGTTGCAGTTGACGCAGGATCCATGCAGGTCTCCACGCGGCTTCGTATACACGAGAAACAGCAAATCTGGTGCAAGCCTCCACGACGATCCCCAACCCTCAACCCTAACCCTCCACTAAACACCCTACAGCTCCAGCCCCAAAGCCCAAAGCTTTGAACGCCCTGAAACCGCCCTCAAACGCCGAGAAGCTCGACAAACCGCGAACCCCCAAACCCTAAACGGCCCTTTGAAGCCCAAAAACTCCGGAGTCCAAGCCCCAGCACAAGGGCTCCCTTGAAAGCCAACACCCAAACCCCACAGGCAGTTCAGCCCTAAAGCCCTGAACCCCAACTCAAAAGGCACCTCAGCCGCCAAGGCAGTCTTCAGCTTGTCGGCCATCGCCTCAGTCGGGGCCCCTCCCTCCCTGTCGGACTTGTCGCGGCTGAGGCTTTGAGACAACTGGGGCTCACGGGTTTCGGGCTTTGAGAAACAAGGTTTCGGGCCTAGAGCGTTGGGTTTGGGGCCTCGGGAGAGTGCCGTGTTGGTCTTTTCGGCTTCTCAGCCGACTAAAGCTCCCTTAGTTCTTCGGCCCTAAACGAATCGAGGACTCCAGAAGCTCTCTTAGGTGCCTGGATAAGAGTGCATGCCACGGGACTGGAGAGTTCTCCAAGAGTTAAAAGTCTACAGGAGTGTAGACGGTCCTTGTACTTCTTTATTGAAGGCTCCTCTTCCACCTGCTGGAAGAGCTTAAGGGTTAAACTCTGGTCCTGACTGGAGCCCGGAAACCAGCCCCAAAGGTGCCTGTGCCGGCTGCACAACCTTTTCGTCTTCGGGGGCCGGAGGGGCAGCGGGCGGTTCCTGAGAGGTGTGGAGAAAATGCAAGGAATTAGCAATTTGGGCTTCGGGGGTGTTGTGATGTGGCTTGGGTACGGAACTGTTGCTCCGAAGAGCTGCATGCAATCCTGCGATCCGAATGCTTGCTCTTATCAAGCTGACGGTGATCTCGAGGGTCGGGATGTGGACGGTGATGATGATGATTAATGATGATTAATGATGATGATGATGATGCTGATCGGGAGGAGGAGGAGGAGGATGCTCGAAAGCGATGCCGATGCCGTCGCGGAGGAAACGGAGGACCATGGCCGTCGTCATCGTCTTCAGTGGCTATTAGCGTTTGTAAAGGCTTAGGCTTGTCGGTTTTGGTGCTTGCAGACTGTTGAGTGGTGTCTGCGGGCGTGGATTTCCGCACTTCTTCTTCCTTGTTCTTCTCGAGGTGCATCGGGTCTGGAAGGCCGGGTTCTGGGGTTGGGGTCGGAGTCTAGGTGGGTTTCGCGTCCCTTCATTAAGACCAAGCCCCTGTCCCTGAACGACGTGGGCCTCAGTGCTACTGCAGCCGCCTGGCCTAGCCGCCAGCAGAGGTACAAAACGAACTAGGGCAACTAGGAAAAGCCGGCACCTTAAAGGTAAGGTGCCTCGTAATGACTGATTGAAGCCCCTGTGCTCAAGATCCGCATGCGCCTTAACTATACCGAAACTATAAGAGCTGGATCCGTAAGCCCGAAGCCCAAGCTCCCAAACCCGCCGAATCATGAAGCCTGAACTGCTACATACTGCCACAGGACCGACTGTTTCGACTTCATGGGGCGCGGGCATCGCCAGTGATCAGGAAGTCATCAACCAACCACCTGCCGAAGGCTCAGACTTTCCGGGGCGGCGGACTCCTTTGCTCTCAGGTGTTAGGCCCTCCTGATTTTAAAAAAGCCACTCTCCCGTATTGTTGATCACAACATATATCCGATCACGGCCTCACTCAGTCTTTAGATCCAATGCGAAACGCAAAGTCCCACGGCCCGAAGTTCCTAAACGGGGACAGCGTAACCCAACCCCGAGGACACCCTAAACCCTGGAGGCCTCAACTCGAGACCCTGAAGACAATAAAGCCCAACAAACCAAAGACCGTAGCCCCCAACTCCGCTCCAAAAGCCCAAAAGCCGTCCCAGCTCTGCTCTCCTTTCAAACATCCCAGCGGCTGATGTCCGCTGCTCTCCTCCGAGGACTCGCCCTCAAAGGCCCAATCCCAGACCTCTCACCGGAATGGGGGGGGGGGGGCTTCTTGGGTTAGAGGATTGCTGCTTGGGCCGTAAATTTTGAGGTTCGAGGTTTCGGGTTTTATGTGTTGGGGTCCCCAACTTGGGGTTTCAGAGGCCTTTCTTTTGACTGGGAATCCTTTATGATTTCGGGCCTATCATCGGAGCTCAGAGAACTGCTCAGCCTGCAGGATGCTAGGTTTGGTCCCGGTTTGAGATTTAGTTCTCACACCGATCGTCGGTCTCACCCTGCCCTCCCCAAACAGTTGCCATCAACAGGCCGGAACAACCCAGGAAGCCTCTATAAACCCGAAACCGGGAATTGATCCCGGAAGATCAACCCAGGCACTTCGATTCTTCCTGGTAGCCCTGCACCCCCACGCGCGCACCTCTTCTGTAGCTTCGAGGCCCTCCGTTCAGCAAGACATGAATATTGATAGAATTCAGGGGTGTAGGGGTTTAGAGCTCCATGCCCACACCCAGACTGCATCAGGCATCGTGGTTCGTTTTCTGGGCAGGTATGGGCTTCACTATACGCGCCTCATCTTCATCTGTGGTGGCTCCGGTGCCAGCTCGGTGCTGTCTGAAATC